AACCAGGGTTGTTAATCAAAATATTGTGTGCAAAGTTGGTGACAGTTGTTGAAACAAGTATTCTGTGTCATTTTCTTTGTTGTTCCAAACAGTCAAAACACACAATAAATTGATTTTGTGGACGAGACAGGTTTTAGGATCATTGCGTTTAAATGGTGGTATTCTTTGAACTGATTGAGCAATTTCAGTAATTTTTTCATGTAAAAGTAGCTTTTGAAATTGGCTTTCCAGTCATTATTATTTTTGGTGCTACATATTTTTTTAAATATGAAATACATTTTTGGGGGTTTGGGTTCCGCTTTTTTTGACTCACCCTGTACCATTTCTCAACAGCTTGGTGCATTGAGAAATTATGAAAAGAGATTATTACAACTAAACCAGGGAGAAATGTGGAGTCATCAAGCTGATGCTTTTGTCTGATACTGTGTCCTGAAGAGTTGAGGTACTACTTGCAAGTTCTTTATGGAAAAGTATGCATGCAAGCTTGCGTTGACTTTGAAATCAACACATCATGTCAGACAAAAAGTCAAAACAATTTGCGGTTTATCCAACTTGCAAGAAGACAAGAAGATGTACTTGAACGTGTACATGCACAAGACCTCAGCCACATGCACAAGCTTCAAGGCAAGACAAATAAACTACCTGTACAGGGTGGTTAAAAAAAAGGACACCCACATTTGACAGGAATTTTCACCTATTTTTAAAAATTATTTTAAACTGTCGATTAGTAGCTATTAAAGTACTGGCCTTTAAGCAAATGTGACGAAAAAATCGTTGCATTTGCACATTTTGTCGTTGAGCTATGCTAATTTGAACATTTTATGTGCGAAACCTGTTTGTCCACGGAGGTATACATTCCCTTTGCTTTCAGACTGAACTCAGCTATCGGAGCTTTATTTGAAAGGGCATGACATTTGATTGTTAAGTAATATGTAATGTATGCAACAATGAACTTAAGCCGACAGCTCATTGAGTAGATGATCTTAACAGTTAACACTGATTTGAATAATTGGACAGCTTCAATAAAAGTTACCAGGGCAAAATATATTTTGGTGGGAAGGTTTTTTAATTTTTACGAACTACGAAAACTTCCAATTTACATTGAATAACCCGTGGACAAGACTGAGTTTTGGTGACTTTTGAATTCAAATTAGCATAATATCACTATTTTTGCGACTTTTACTAAGCTTTTCTCACCATACATGGTTGAAGGACTATACTTTACTACTGTGTGACCAAAATATTTAAAATAAGTTCATTAAGTAAGTAAAAATTGCTGTCAAAAGTGGGTGTCCTTTTTTTTTAACCACCCTGTATGCAGTATTGTGGGAACTCTAACACATGCAAGGCAAATCTTTCTCTCGTATGCAAACCGAAAGAAATACTCGTAACTGATTTCTGTTTAATCGATGAGCCAAGTCCACCAGTGCTTAGGAATACATACCTAGAACGCATACAGGTATCGGTATATATATATATATTTTTAACAATTGTGTGTGCAAAATAAAAAAAATAAAAAATAATACATGACTGTGATTTTTTATGAGATTATCCCATATTTCAAAACTAACTCCATTTTTGATAAACACTCTGTACTAACTCTCCTGTAGTTAGACCATTCAAAGCACCTCAAAATCTGGGTGCTGGCAAATTGGAGGAAAAAAAATGCTGGACCTTTTGAAATCCTCCAGAGTTTATTGTTACTGCACTACCACACCTTTCAATTCCTTTTGAAAGGTATTGAAAGGCAACTTACTAAATTTGCCCAGAGTTGCTTCACCTTCCGAAACCTTTCGAAAAGTTTCAAAGTTCCAGCACTATTTCACCTTTCAAAACCCTTTTAGTCAGGCAAATTTAAAATGTTTTGAAAGGTCTGATAATTCTCTTTGCCAACTGCACTGGGCATAGCAGGGCTAATGGAAGACATGTTTCACTCATGAATAGGTATACAAACCTTATCATACATAGTGACAATGCAACCATTGTACATGTACATGTAGGTCTTTATCTGAATACGCAAATTTCATGCAAAATAAAATCTCTTCTGTTTTATGTTATCATAAGGACACAATTTATCATGTCATTGTATAGAAGCTACAGGGCTGAAAGCAAGTTCTGCAATTTTCAGTATAGACCTTATGCATTAGGGCGGAGTTAGAGGGCAATGGTAAAATTGTATCGCTAGGTTACATGTAGGTACCGGTACATACCGTATTTTAACCTTTTGTGCATAGCCCTAATCCTCCAAAATCCTCCTGGCGGTTTTGGAGGCTTGAGGCAGAACGGCAAGAAATGTCTGTTGATTTTGGAGGATGCATTGTGTCGAGTTGGTAGGGTGTATTGTCTCTGTTCAGTCACACATTATTGAACCCTACATTAAGCTGGACATCATCCGCACTGCTTCTGAATGTCATCAGCACTGCCTCAACTCATTAACACTTTTTTTTATAACAGTGATTGTTGGAGGATTTTGAATGATTAACCCCAACCCCCTGGGCCCTCTGGCTAGGATGCAACCTCAATCCTGCAAAATCCTCCAATTAGGCCTACCACCCAGATAAAATTGGATTCAACCTCAATCCTCCAAAATCATCCGTTATTTTCTTGAATTTAGTCTGTGGAGGGAGACCACTGCCTCGATCCTCCAAAATCCTCTGCCAATTACTGCTGTGGTTTGAGGCAGTGCGAATGGCGTTTAGAGGCAGTGCGAATGGCGTTTAGAAGCAGTGCGGATGAAATAGGAGAAAAACACAGGGCTGATTTATGCATGGCTGAACATAACCAATGCAGGATATGGCCTACTGCTTTGACATAATGCATCCTCCACAAAAAAAGCGATACATCTTTGCCATTCATCCTCAATCCTCTAAAATCATCCAAAACCGGCAGGAAGATTTTGGAGGATTGAGGAGGGTTAGGGTTAAGGCAATGGTCACCTCTCCACTGAACAAATTTTAAAAAATAACGGATGATTTTGGAGGATTGAGGCTGAATCGAATTTTTACTTGGTGGCAATTGGAGGATTTTACAGGATGGTTCCTAGCCAAAAATGCCTTGATAAATGAAAGTAACAAAAAATACCCTCCGAGACACCAGCAATGCATAAGGTCTATATGATCAATTATAATGCGCCCTTACCTTTTGCCTCGCCCTCAATCTTAATTAATAATGGAACAAGATTCAAAATGTTACCCAGACCCTTTACAATTCTCACAAAATGCCGTTCTGATGCTGATAACATATATTTACCTTGGCTGACTTCATGAAGCCAGGAATAGCTTTCGTCTGTTTTGGTAAAAGCATTGGTGTACATTTTCAATTTGTTGTCAAGTTTTCCTTCTTATATACCAGGTACCGCTAGGTGACACTTCTTTCAAATTTATATAAACAAAATTTATAAAAAACAAATTTGGAACTAAGAAAAAGTTTGACTTTGTTAAAGGTAAAGTACATCATCTGAGTGTAATTTGTGTATTTACATGTATGTTCGTCTCAACAAAAGTGCTCAAAATCTAAAGAAGGGTGCTGAACAACTAACCTGATGAAGTTTTAGCTCAGTGAATGCTGTGTTTATTCCGAGAAAACAATATTCTAGGATCTCCATTTGAAATCAAAAGTTGCCGAGTTCTCATTCAGTCGATGGCAGCTACGCACAATGATGTGCCCTGTGCCAAAAGCCCATACTGTGTCATACGGCGTGGGGAACAGATCACTACACGAAACAGTCGTTGACTCAGCGCGACTTGTTTTTGTTTAATAGTGACGTCACACACGCGCTCAACAATCAGTCAAGAAATGGATGGCACAACTCAGTAAATTTAATTGTGAGCGGTAAGTTTATCAGAATATTATGTTCTTTTTTTTCAAAATTTCCACTTGTTGGGAACAATTTAAGGGGTCTTATACTAGAATGTCATGAATGTGCATCCATCCAGGGTAAATTTTTATTCTCTTTACCACTTTTTGGGGGCCTTTTGTCCTCCATAGCTCTACTGAGTTTAGCGTTGGAACTTCAGTACCCTCCGTACAATACAAACGCTCCACCGAATCGGCATACTTTGACACACGGTATGCATTTTTGTACAGTATACCCTAGGGGAGAAAAGGCCCCAAAAAACTAACTGTTTTTCTCATTTGTCATGTTTGTATTCTCTTTAGCAGTTTTTTGGGGTCTTTTCTCCGCTCGGAGTGCGCCGCGGGGGGTACGTACTTGCACTTGTACGCATGCGCATACTATCGTTCCGCTCTACACCATACCCCCCGCGGCGCGCTCCGAGCGATCGAACCGAAAATGACTGCGATCATTCTGCGCGCGTGCTCGTTTCAAGTGTTAGGTTGGCTCAGTGCGGAAAGGGCATATTTTTCATCATTTTTGCCGAAAACAGACAGAATCCACCGATGTTTGTTGGGTGCACATAACATGAGTATGTCATGAGGTATTGTTCGAAGTTTAGGGGCAATCTGTGCAGCGGTTCTGTGGGAAATGTCTCTGTTTTGATGGACGTTTTTGTACTTAATTGGTGTTTTGTGCTGCAAACAATTTTGCGGAGTTCTGTGTCTATGAGGCTCCGCTCACGCGGAGCATCATAGTTCTAGGAGTAGGGTGGGATAAAAGAGGTGAAATTCGGACAATTTTGGAGAGGCCGTTTTTTTAGGGTCTCTTGCTACCACATGGAAACGAACAGGTTATTCCTCCAGCGCTACATGTGAATGAATATGAGCATGTCAGCTGGAGTTACTCAAGCTAGTTACACTTGAAGTTGAATTAATTTTTATTTAATCAAGTGATCCGGAACTGTCGCACTGACTGTATCGTGTTTTGGTGTTTGTGCATTTTCGGCAATGCAATGAAAACGGAACCAATCCCAACATTGTCATGACATTTGCATCATTCATGTGCATGATCATGTGTCAGGAAGTACACAAACGTAACACAATCATCACTGATCATGAGGAGGCAAACTTGGAACAAATTTGGAAGTACAATCGTACTTACTTACCTAAATCATCCATTCTCGGGTGTCTTCCTTCTTCAAGATATCAGCTACAAACACGTGTCTCTCTTCCAGCTTCTACTCGGGTAACGGTGAGTAACGGGAGATGTATTTCTTCAGAGAAACTTCAGAAAGAGATTTATTTCACGGGTTTCTGCGTTTAGTCACGCACTCAAATTACATTTGTGTATTCGGTATGGTACCTGAACCCGCAATGGGTTTTATTTAGCTTTTTTATCAATCGGAACAAGCACCAGACGAAGCAATTACTTCGGAAACAGGTGGATCACGTGACAGCCACCACAAACCATAACTATGTTTGTTGTTTAAGATACCAAACTTCTATGTATTTATTTATTTTCATTTAAACCAGTCGAAATTGCTTACCTCATGCATTGAGGACAACGGAGCTCAGTTCAGTTTCTTTATATTTATTTAATTGAGACGTTTATTGAAGATATTACTGTAATTTACTGTAATTTAATTAAGGAGAAACAATATTTGGATGCGTGTGGCCGTTCCAAATGTGGGCATGGCATATTAGACTCGTGCAAGTCCACTCATCAGCTTCATTCTTAAATTACACGTAAAACAACAGGTGGCGCTCTTCTATAAAATAAAGTACCATTCATATAAACATAAAAACAATTGCCATTTTCGAGTTTCATCCTGAAAAATAGATTCCTTTTCTGAATTGCCATTTTTCTTCAGCAATACAAAAAAAAAATCACTTTTGAAATGAGACATCGACCAAAATGCACATCTGAAGAAATCCTGAATGACTTAAAGCGCATGCATGATTCATGGCATTTGCAAAACAAATCAAAACTGTAAACTAACACAAAACCTTATCATTTCCCAATGTTCCCTGTTGCCTGCCCTTTTCTGTATGCTGAAGATAATTAACTAAACACAAAACTTCATTTTCCAACCTCTATTTCTTAAGTTTCCAGTTAAGGATTGTATCCAACCTCGGGGGTGGATCTAGCTTCCAGGAAAATAGGGGGGGGGGGGGGGGGTTGATATAAAGGAGGGCAGGTGGGGGGTTGAGTCTATAGAGGGGTCGGGCATGCCCCATAATTTTGAAATCTATGATGCTTTATCCTGCATTCCAAGGCAATTTCAGAGTAAATTTAGGAACTTCAGCATTTCATTTATTATTTTTGGCCCCATGCTAGTTTCATAGCATTAGTCAGCGCCTGAAAGGGGGGGGGGGGGGGAACCCCACCCCCTCAACCCCCCCCCCCTCACCCCCCCCCCACCCCTTAGGACCGCTAATGAACCTTTTGTCAAAAAAATAAACCTGTACGTCTTTCCTTTGTTACTGCACGTTTCCTGTTAATGTTTGTGATGTGAGTTGTAATGAGGAAATGAACAGATTATTTCCAAAACGCGATATTTCCATTTGAAACAAAAAAAATAATTTTTTTTTTTACATCTTTATCAAATTTTAAAGAATATAACCAAGTAACCAACAAAACAGCTGTTTCTAAACTTCATATTTTGCTTTATTGTCTTCTTAAATTGTGTTTAACTGCATGAAACCATCCAAACTGACTTTGGGCAGCCAAGAGATAGCCGGATTCTAAAAGGGAACAAAATGGCGTTTATTAAGTTTTGAGATAAAAACTCTTCGAATTTGCCTGATTACAACTCTGCTGCCATTGCTCAAACTCTATTTCAATTACCATAAACACGTTTGATTTGGTAGATGTTAGGTTAAACAGTTTAAACAAATTTTGACAACTCTTTACAAAAGTTGAGCCAATAGATTATTGCTGATGATTCAAAAATGTGAAAAATACAACTTCCTTGGCTGTGATAAAATACTACAGTGCTTTTTATGCTGTATAAATTATATAGGTTTACAGGCATTCTTGATTCTTTGTAAATATAAAGTTAAAGGTGAATATAAAGTTAAAGGTACACAGGATCATTTGCTTTTTTTCTTCACCTATTTCGTTTGAAGCAACAAAAATGCTAAAAAATCTCAAGAAGGGTGCATAACAACTAACTTGACGTTTCAGCTCAGTGGATACATTTTGAGAAAAAACCCTGAAAACATATGCACAATTTTTGGGGTCTCTTAACCCCTTTACGCCGGTATTGTTCAGCCACCGACGGCTGCACTTTGATTGGAATGTGTACATGCAGGCATTCAGCCGTTGTCTTTGAATGAATGTGGCTATGCAGCAGGAACGCAGCTATAGCAGTCCCCAGGCTTATCAGCATTCATAGAGGTGCGTATGTAGCCATCACCTGGCGTCAAGCGCTAAACTGATTCCATTGCTAACCGCACATAAAGAACTGTGCCTGCAGGCACACTTTTTTTAAATCGCCTTTAATTATTGTTTTCTTCCGGATGACGACCATTTCAGGTGGAATAATTTCACAGGATATTTGGTACCAGTCCTATCTTCACTTTGAGCAAGGATTTTCTCGTTAAATTGGTAGGTACATTTCTGGGTAATTGCGTTCGTTCCTACATGTATGTGTCTTTAACCCTTACCTTCCCAAATCCTCGAAAATCCTTTTTTTCAAAATGGAGGATTTTGCAGGATTGAGGCTATATGGTAAAAATGTGTGGATGATTTTCGAGGATGCACTGTGTCAAGGTCTTGGGCCGGACCTTGTGTTGTTTATGCTCAGCCGTGCATAAGTTTGGGCCTAGATTATACTTGAAATCCCCCGCACTGCTCCAGGATGTCACTGGGTCTGCCTCAACATATTGACAGTGATTGCTGGAAGATTTTGCAGGATTGAGGCAATGGTCACCCCTCCAATGCCAATGATGATTTTGCAGGATTGAGGCTGTATGCCATTTTGACATGGAGGCAGTTGGAGGATTTTGCAGGATTGAGGTTGCATCCTAGCAAAAATGCCTAGGGAGTAAGGGTTAATATATTGTCCTTTTGTTGAATATTTTTGAAAATTTGGATTGGATTTTGGTTAATAAACATGAAATGCTTAATAGGAAATATGAATAGACCAATGAGGCTTTCACACCACATTCAGTGGATCAGCATCGACCTCCGAAACAATGACATTCACTGTCCCATTCAGCATGTCACCCAGTTTGGCCTTGAGGACCCGAAGATATCCACGTTCCGTGTTGCTGTGGTTGCAGAGGATTACACTGGTCCCCCTGGCCACGGCAGCCAGGATGTCATGATGTGACATCTCCCCTGTGAGGTACACGTCGGCTGGTACCCCGGCCAGGACACTGGCCCCTGAACCAGCACAAATGGCGACAGTCTTGACTTCAGAGTCTGAATCATCACAAAGAAAAGTGATACAAACTATTAAAGGGTCATTAAGTGAATTTTTCTTTAGAACATATTTCATGCAGCTTTCTGCTCCTCGTAAATTTACGAAAAATGTATGACATCCCTTTTTGGTTATTGAAAAGTGCACTTTTTTAAATATTTAAAATTGTTCATGTTTTTCAGGACAACCGAGAGCGACGTTGCTGCGATGTCATTTCAGGAAGACACTGTTCAGTTTAGGGGCTTTCTGTTCAAATTGTAAACGCAAAAATTTCCTTATTGAAAATATTTTCGACAAAAGTTAGCTCATTAGCTTACTGCCATGCACTGATACAACAACAAATTATCAAAGAAAAGAAAATTTATCACAGTGAAATATCCAAAATTCTGGCAACTTTGGTGCTGAAATAGCTGTTACATTGAGGTTTCTGCCTGAAATGACATCAAAATGTTGCTCGTGAGTAATTAAATTCGCTTTAGCATAAAAACCAATAAAGCACCAAAATACCCCTTAAATGGCAAAAGGAAAATCGAAAATAGGGTTAAATGGGACACAAAGGTGCATTTCCAAGGATTGCATTAAAAATAATTTCATTGCATCAGCCCATTAAACAAAGTTTTGACCAAGTTCAAACTATTAACAAAGGACAATAAATTACTGGCTTATTAAAAAAAAAATGTTTTGGATCATACCTTGTGTTTTCTGGCTTCCCAATGCTAACTGCACATGTTGCAGCCCAAGATGGTTCTTGACACGTTGTACCGCTGTTGCTATGGAAACTGGAGATTTTAGCTTACATATCCTTCCAGTGCCAGTGCCTGGTGTTGGAAGCTGGAAAAAAAAATTATCACTAAATTTCATAGTAAAATTATAAGGATATTGTAAAATAGACAAAATTGCGGGTAACGCCATGTGGAAAGAAAGCTCTTCTTGGAAGAAGTGTGATTCTGAAAAGAACCGGTTGGTTGAGTGTAGAACTCGACGTTTCGGACAGTGTGCTCTGTTCGTCTTCAGGAGGCTGAGGACGGACAGAGCACACGTCGAGTTCTACACTCAACCAACCGGTTCTTTTCAGAATCACACTTCTTCCAAGAAGAAATTTCTTTCCACATGGTGCTACCCCGCAATTTTGTCTATTTTATGTCATCCGCCGTGCAAAGCTTCAAGTCATATAATAGGATATTGTAAATCAAAATGGATCACTATCAGATACTGACTCCTTGGAATTTTTCCTTAACTTTTCCAATCCACTAAATTTAAACACTGCGTGTGGAGTAACTAAGTGGCATATTCTTTGTGCTTAGAATGATTTTTGTTGCATTGGCCCTGTGTCAAGTAAAGTAGGCAGCAGAAGCAGAATTTGAAACATACTTGTAATCCATACTTTTCCAGTTCAGGAAGTTGTAATGTCTGTGAAATGTTCATTGTTTTTTTTATAACAAAAAACATATAATAAATCTCCTCTGAATTTTAAGGACAAATCTACCTTAAAAAAAAACCAGATTTGCTCTAAAATGCACCAGAAAGCTTCTAAAGTTTAACATTTTTCGGGGCCCTAAAGCGGGCCCTGACCCCACGCCATGGCTTCGCAAGTTGTTGATGAATCACAACAAAATTTCCCCCAAATTCTCACTCTCAGCTCTTACTCAAAGTTGGCAGCCCTGCAAGACGCATCTTGAACAAAGAGAAATGACAGAAGTGGGACATGAACCTGTAACCTCCAAAAACAAACTACTGGCACTCTACCAATTGAACATGAGCCAATGTTGGCCTTCTCCACTTTTATCAATATCTTACATTTTGTGGGATAATAGTATTTACCAGAAAACTCTGGAAACACCAAAAGAAAAACCACCCTGGGAATACACTGGAAAAAACCTGAAATCAACAGGAAAACAGAGGTTGATGTGTGGTGATTTCCAGTTGATTTCTGGTGGTTTTCCTGTTGATTTCCAGCGTTTTCGGGTAAATAGTTATGCCGATTTCGTGGGCAATTTTTGAAGCACTCACTTTTTCCAGCTTTGTGATTTGGACTGTCTTCTTAATCTCCGGAGATGATTCCATACTTTCCATGATGGACAGCAGACCTTGTTCATTGCAACAATGTACCACCTGAAGCCTGTAAATGAAGAAAACGGATTATCACACTCGTACTCGAGTATCAAAATACTCGGGACTCAAATTCACAGTACCCGTACTCAGGAAGCGAAAAACTTGGACTTAAGTATTCGATATTGTACTTGATCATGATAGCACTTGTACTCGATTATAAGGATTCAGGGAAAAATCTATTCAGCTGTGTTGGTCTTTCGTACTCAAAGGTCCAAGTATTCATACTTATCATTGAAGGTCGAAGCTCGGAGATCCAAGTACTCGTACTCGAAGGTCTAAGTACTTATACTTCTGTTCGAAGGTCCAAGTACTCGTACTTGTACTCAAAGGTCCAAGTACTCTCACTTGTACTCGGAGGTCCAAGTACGAGTACTCGTACTCGAAGGTCTAAGTGCTAGTACTTCTATTCGAAGGTCCAAGTACTTGTACTCAAAGGTCTAAGTACTCTCACTTGTACTCGGAGGTCCAAGTACGAGTACTCGTACTCGAAGGTCTAAGTGCTAGTACTTCTATTCGAAGGTCCAAGTACTTGTACTCGAATGTCCAAGTACTCCTACTTGTACTCGGAAGTCCAAGTACTTGTACTCAAAGATCCAAGTACTCGTACTCGAAGGTCCAAGTAGTCCTACTTGTACTTGAAGGTCAAAGTACTCGTACTTGTACTCGGAGGTCCAAATACTTGTATTCCAAGGTCCAAGTACATGTACTCGTACATTTTGTACTTGTACTCGAAGGTGCAAGTACTCAAACTCAAAGGTCCAAGTACTCGTACTTGTACTCGAAGGTGCAAGTACTCGTACTCGAAGGTCCAAGTACTCGTACTTGTACTCACAGGTCCATGTACTTGTACTCGCAGGTCCAAGTACTTGTACTCGCAGGTCCAAGTACTCGTACTTGTACTAGAAGGTCCAAGTACTCGTACTCGAAGGTCCAAGTACTCGTACTCGAAGGTCCAAGTACTCGTACTCATGTACTCGGAGGTCCAAGTACTCGTACTCGGAGGTCCAGTTACTCGGACTCGGCTTTGCAAAACTTGTACTTTAAGGGTCCAAGTACTTGGACTCTGATACCTGAACTCATTCCCAAAAGTCAAAGTACTCAGACTTAAGTGATAGGCCTACTCGATACCTTAGTACTCGGCAGTACTTGATACTCGGATAAGAGTACTCACCTACATTGTACAACACTGTCAATTTGCAAGTCCAGTCACAAGTTACAGGGAATGAACAATAACGGACGGACCTGTATAGACTCGAACCAAAACACTGCAAAGGCATTTTGGAAATTTACCCATTCTCAGTTGGTGTACTTGAGACTTGGGAGACAGATGTACCCAAACCAAGTGGAAGCAACAGACTGCTTGTATCAGGCACCACATACTCTATCCTGTGAGTCCATCCACTGTCTGAAGGCTTCTGTGATGTCTTCATGGGTTCCACATTGCAAGGACCTGGGTGAAAGATAATATCCAAAAAAAAAAGCGAAAAAAAGAAGGCAATGTTACAAAATGTACATAAATGGTTAACACTGCAGGAAATCTAGAAATTGGCTTGTGAGGATGGCTTTTACGTTCGATTCAGAGAAGACGAACTTTGATAGAAAAGATAATTTCATTTTCTGCTGATTTTGGAACACGAGTTATTTAAAGTTATGACCTTTATTACACACACACACACACAATTACTGCTATCAACCATGGCAGCTACCAGCTCCTAGCCTAATTCCAATAGTGGTAATATGTATCAATCTCTGTTAAAGTTTAATAGTATAAGTTTAATATTTGGAAGACCTAATGCATGTAGAGTGCAAAGTTCAATAGGTTTTTGTTTTCAAAGAGTTTTCTTCAAGAATTTGTTGCCTGGGGAAAATCTGTATCTGTCAGCAGAGCACAGCATTGGACCAGTAACTGGGGCTCTAGAACTCCTTTAAAAAAAAATTGTGTCTTTGGTCAGTTGTACTTCGACCGACCAAAGATAAATTAAAAAAAAAAGGAGTTTTAACATGTCTAACTTCTAGCGCCCCAGTTACTAGGTCGGCACAATTGCAGAATACCCCACCAGTGACCACTCATCTATCCCACCTCGCTGGCTACGCGGATACAGATCGAGTCACACTTGACTGTTTATCCACAATACACGTGCACTTCCCACTATATCCACGTAGCCATGCCAGGGGAGCTTCTTTGGACTTAAGACTTTTTCCTAGCTCCTTCGAACGCATAGCCATTGAATTTTAGGGGGTGATCTTTGAGTGGCGGGGTATTCTGCAATTAATTACTCCACTGGGTCTACAGCACTATAAACTTGTCTAGTCCGAGTAGGAGATGGCAGTGCTTTTGCTTGGACCCTACTATCACCAGACCATGTCCGAATGTTAAAAAGGCAATAAGTTGGGTCCAAGTTACTCGGACTAAAACTTGTCTACTGTTTCCCTGGATCCATACCTAGCCCTTCTGCCAACCAGTCATTGACCCCACCCTTGACGGCATCATAACAAGTGTGAGGGGAGTATATTGCAATTCTCTTCTCAATAGCTCGGACGATGATCCTTTCCTTCGTGTTTCTCATGGTCAACCTCTTCAAAGGGGCAAATATCGGGGGATGATACGCCAAGATGAAGTCTGATTTCTGGTCGATGGCCTCCGTCAAAACCTCCTCTGTTAAATCATTGGTCAGGAACATTGTCTTGACATGATGCGGTGGCGTGGGCTCCACAAGCAACCCGACATTGTCCCAGCTTTCGGCGAGAGAGGTTGGTGCGAACTTGTCGAGGGCACACAGCACGTCTTTCAGATCCATGCCTTTAAGTTTAAGTTTTGACAATTTGCTGCTGGATCTAATTATGCTGAGTGAGGTTGAAATCCTCTGCTGAAATTCGCTTTGCAGGTACGGCAGTTTCACAAAACTCCCACTTGTCAATTTCTGTTGCGAGCAGCTGTTCCTTGTTCTATTATGGTATAATCTAGCAACAGCACAGAAAGCGCTAGCAGACGACAAATTCAACAAGTTGAAGCTGCTGTCTTTGCTGCTGAAGCTCAACTTTGAAATGCTGGAGTTGGAAATGGAAAGACGACCTCTGACATGTCTGAAGTATCTAAAGAACGACCGAAGCCCTACTCTTTGCGTGTGACAACTCATGAGTGTTATTTCAGCAACATTAATTGTTTTTCTCAAACATGGCTCAAGCCAGCATGATCAGTCAGTCAGTCAGCGGCAAAAGATCAGCACGCTTAATTTCAGCCTTAATTTCACGCTTGCACGGCACCGGCGTGAAGTCAAACTGGATGATGATGCCTAGCGGCGATATCCAGTCAACTTTCTGAGATTCTGATTTCTGAGCAGCACTTGTTCAAGCATGCACTTTTGTTTGGCGAAAAATACCGAAACAATTATACTTAAGGGCGCCCTCAATAGTCCAACTGTAAAGTTGCATAAGAATGATTGAGCAGCTGATGGTGATTTTGACAATCTTGATATGATTCCCTTCTTTACTAGTTTTAGCAGACGTGAAGTACAGAAGAAATTCCCCTGTAGGTATGTAGAAGAGGCAATACGAAAGGAAAAAAGGGAGAGTCTCGTTAAAATCGTGGAGACATGTCGGGTACGGGTATGAATGTCATTGTTGGCGTTTTTCAGCCGTGATTCATTTGCAGATCACAAGTTACAATCCAGGCAGTTTATGCACAAACCTATGGGGGCATCATATCGACAGTGAACCAGCTACACTACAGTCCAGTATTTTCCCAAAATTAACCATATTAACTGATCGTCGAATCACATATTAATACAAAAAATATAAGACATATAATTTGTAAATTAAAGTTAGTTTGATTTTTCTAAACTTCAGCAGTTCAAAAACTTGAACTTGAAGAAATAATCTGAAAGTTTTAACTGATTCACAATCCCATGGCATAGGGTTTTTTGTGCACAATTTGCCTGGTACGTTTGCTTGTCTTCCATACCCAAGATGCATTGTGAATATCGAAATGGTTTTAATCGCTTTGTTGTGTGCTAGTTATGCTGTTTTTTGTCAACTGCTCTACTTTATATTCCCATTTATAATTCATAATAATAATATTCTTTTTTATTTCCTCCGTTCTGTGAAACAGGATTTGCCAGATTTATGCATCCTGGGCGTTATGGTTAGATTGCAAAGGGCGTAGACATCATAAATTCCAGTCGTTTGTGACCAGCATGAGCAGCAAAACTAAAATAAAAACTGAAAACTGAAATTTTGTTCAGCAACAAGTAAGCAACAAGCAACATGTCCCAGTCCGATATCAGATAAATGAACTCTTTCCATTTAGGTCTAACTAATTTGTAAGACCCAAATTACAATAATGTCTCCTTCTTTGGTTTCAAGAAGCCTTTGCCTGAGGAATTCTTCCCTTTTCAAATCTTTATGCTCAAATTCATTGCCTGAGGTGCCTTGTAAGCACAGACTGTATTCCAGCATTAGATCAGGAACACAGGTGGAACACCTGTCCACACAACCTCAGATACTTCAGCCAGATGCCAAGAATGGTTTGGCCGAAGATTTAACATTTGTTCCCAACAGTTCTGCGGTCAGTAAAACTGCACTAGAGAAACTACAAGATTTTGTTTCTGCCTCTAAGAAATTGTTTGTTTTGACTGGAGCCGGGATGTCAACTGAGTCCGGAATTCCCGATTATCGGTCCGAGGGAGTAGGGCTGTACGCCCGGAGCAACAATCGACCAATCACGTACCAGGATTTCCTCAGGAGTCCCTCACGGAGGAGACGCTACTGGGCCAGGAACTTCGTTGGCTGGCCTCGGTTCAGCTCCGTCCTGCCCAATGCGAGTCACTGGACGTTTGCCGAATGGGAACGGGCCGGCAAAGTGCACTGGCTCGTCACGCAGAACGTCGACGCGCTTCACACCAAAGCGCAGAGTCGGAGGGTGATTGAGCTGCACGGCTGCTCGGCGCGGATCGTTTGTTTGTCGTGTGCACAGAAGACAACACGAGATGAACTGCAGCAACGCATGAGGGACGTGAACCCACAGTTTAATTCAGAATCTCAGGTAACAAGGGAGTTAACGTATGCATTAACCCTAACCGAACCCAGCCCATCAAAGCCCAACAGCAGGTTTTGTTTAAATCTGTTGGGATAGGTACAGTACCCCTAAACTGATGGTCTTTTACATTGTGTGTACACAATTTCCCATGTGGGTGTTGGAATTTGCCAGAATAGGTACGGTTCCTAGTCAATTATGCTGGGGAGTTAGGGTTAATGCATTTATGTACGTATGCATTTTGTACCCTATAGCCCACAGTTGTATCGAGTAAGCTCAAGACACCACAATTTAATCATTGCTTCCATAACTGCAAGGTTTTTACAAACCTTACATATAGACCAATATAAGTTACTGCGGCAGACAAATTTTGTCAATGTTTTGTCAAACTCTAAACTCTTCCTGTCACAAAAATGTTCAGCCCATTCTAAAGTTGAAAGAAACTGACTGGAGTGGAGATTAAAATTGTGACCTTTCGGATTTCCGTTCCAGTGCTCTACCAACTGAGCTATCCAGCCCTATGTTGATGGTCTTCCAATTTGTCATTGTGTTTGTTCAGGGGGCACTAGTCAGAAGCCATAAACCCGCATATGCCATTTAGGCAGGGATCACGCCCAATGTCACGACGCTAGCAGCATACTGCAAACCTGGGGAATAGCAACTGTTTGAGATAATTTCATATTTACCCTGTCTGGGCCGGTCTGGTCAATTCTTCCCATCCCAGGCAATAGCTCCTGATGGTGATGTCATTCTCTCAGACGAGGCGGTGGCAGGATTCACCGTTCCTTCCTGCAGTCAGTGTCGGGGCATGCTCAAGCCCGATCTAGTCTTCTTTGGGGACAATGTGCCGGGAGACATCAGGACATCAGCCTATGATCGCTTGCAGGAGTCAGATGCTGTTCTAGTGGCAGGATCTTCTCTGGAGGTCAGTAACTTGATCTGAACCATGACAGTAATAATAATAATGTAACGCTTATACGGCACTTTCCATCAAAGGTACAAATGTAGGGCTCAAAGTGCTTCACAATTATCACCTCTGTTTATCAGGCCATGAGACTATTTTTCGCCAACCAAGATCGGCGCAATCCAGTCTCTACCTTCACAGATACGATTTTCTTGGGTGGAGAGAGGCAATTGTTGTAAATGTTCTTGCCCAAGAACACAAACACCATGTTCTCTGTCAGGGTCGAACCCACATACATATACCATGGCACATGGATCGAGTGTCGTAACCAACTCAGAGAGAAAATTGCAGGAAGCTTGCTTTCAATCCTAACTTTAGAATGTCCAAGTCACTTCGCTTAATCGCAGGTCAGTCACCAGTGATATCATGTTCAAATGAGGTATTCACTATTCACTGTTTATCCCCTGTTACCTGTGACCTAACTGGTCATTTTAAGTTGTGATATGACTTGTACATAGGATGTAATAGGCTCTTCCAACATTGAGAAACTCTTTATAGAAAGACCCTCCTTTTTCACAAGACCAATTGTAGAGCAATCACAAGACCAGCTACAAGTAACAGGGCACAAACTGTGACAAAGGAATGCCTTTGTTGCATTTCATTTGAATACATGTAGTTTGCGACTTGAATTGAGACTGGAGGTGTTGTGATGGTCTTGTGTTGGTCTACAACACTGTCCTTTTTAAATTTGGTTTAAAACCATGACCATTTAATTTAAAAACAATCTCCACAACTCTTTCATCTAGGCCAAATTTAAATTTCATCATAATATTGATAAAGATACTTTCTGCTGAAGGAATTTTGGTTCACTTCACAGAGGCAGTAGCAGAAAACGGAGGGAGACTTTGCTAAAAATATCAACACTAATGAAGATCAAGAAGAAAGAGAAAATTCACCTTTAACAAAGTTCCTGTTGCTTTCTCAGAAACGATGTGTGCCTCATCATCTCACTTGTTGACCCACTGCAGGTCTATTCAGGATACCGCTTTGCGCTGGCTGCGAAGGACCAGAACAAACCTCTGGCCATAGTCAACATCGGACCGACGAGAGCAGACAAACTGGCCGTGCTCAAGATTGACGCCAGGATAAGCAGTGTCTTACCAGGCATTCAAGTCACATGATGGAGCTCCACTTTCACTAATCAGTGTCTCAGGGATGATGCATCTTACTGTTTTACCAGTCCTTTGCTACATTGGCGATTCCCAATAAAATAATGGACGATGATTATTAGTTTTTACCTCATTAATCATTTTTATCCCCGTGGCTTTCAAGCCAGATAGGGGGATATTGCGATCGCGTATTCCTTCTGTGAGTCAATGTGTGCGTGCGTGTGTTCCATTTCACTGTACAGTTCAGCCATCAATCTCAACCAAACTTGAAAGGGGTCTGTGGAGAGAAGGCCAATGTCAAAAAAAATCCTTTCCAATATGGATCTTTACGAGGTCTCTGGAGAGCGCAGTTTTAATTTCAATTTACGTGTACAAGTTAACTGTAGTAGCTGCTGAGAATGAAGTCACAGATAATGATGTGAACCTATGAACAGTTTTCGTATCTTAGAAACATTTTGTGGTGAAACTTATCATTGAAGACGGCAGTATTTTAACTACAGGCAATTGCCATAAGTCATGTAGACTTGTCCAAGTTGCCCATATCTGGGATGGATCGTACCAGCTATTGTTCAGATAATCCATTATGGGGCAGTTGCTTTGTATGGGCTCCGTGCACAAGTACCCCTTCAACGGTCAGAAAAGGAGAGTTGGGGGAGACCTAGACTGGTTCCCAGTCTATCCACTGGATATTTCGATTGATCCAAAGTTATTGAGGGCGGGGATTAGTCTGGGAGACCATCGCAAGTTAAATTTGAACGTATTCACGCACTGACGACGCCCATGCGCGAAGATGCTATGGCTTAGCTTTGTGCACATTCAGGATAAAGAAGTCGTGCGTACTTCGCGTGCGAACCAGTCCCGTACACACACGCGGTGTCGCGTCCAAGGGCCTCTCAAAAGTGGTTACAAACGCGCCCTCTTTTGTTAGCACGGAGCCCATAATAGCAGGCACAATGCTTTCGCCGTTGAAGGGGGACTCAACTGAATATCCAAATTTCACGTGGGAGGGAGGGTAGGGGTGGTCGGGGCAATCAGAACATAAAACATGAAACAATTTTTATACCGTACTTTCTGATCTCCATGATAATGTACATGTATTTATTTCACACTTGTTAAGCCCCCACACAACGTGGGTCACATTTCTAGTCTTCATTTCTTATTTTATTTTAAAGCAATTGCTAAAAACTAAGTTTCCAATACACAAGGAATAAAATTCACGAAATTACTTTTTCCATTGCACTGAAAATATTTGGACACTAAACATAGACTGGTGTCAACGTAAGCCCACCAAACAGACTCAACAGTGTGGGGTGGCATCCAGATTTGCTGTGCTGTCTTTTTCTACCTTTCTTAAAATCTTTTGGGAATAAATTGTTAGCTTAAGTTTACACATGGAATAAAAGGTTTTTATTTAACTAATGATATGACAACCTTTTAATTCCAAACTACACAATATGATCAAGATATGTTTTCTGTCATGTCTTTGTCAGATTTATGAGGAAAAATGAAACATTTTGAATGTTAATTCTGTCATTTATGAACAATGTATTACAAGTTAACAATTTTGTATTCTCGGAGTAAAAGTAGTAGTAAAGTCTGTCGCGAGCCAATGTGGCTCATCAGGCTGGTGTTTATCTCCGGTTTCAGTAGCATGAAACGACTGAGAATATGTCTACTCCCCCTGAATGGGATGCTAGTCCATCGCAGGTTACTTCCCAGCTAATGCTGGTACCCATTTATACACCTGGGTGGAGAGGGGCAAGTGGGGGTGAAGTGCCTTGCCCAAGGACACAATATATGACCAGCAGCTGGATTCGAACCCCGGACCCTCTGATCATGAGTCACGAACCCTAACCACTAGACCACATTCTCGGAGTAAACTCCAGACCAAACATTTGAATGACTGAAGGTCCAGAAGTATACAGCACAATATATTTTACAGTAAAACTCACAAAATGTTAATTATTTTCAAAAAAAAATATCTGCGCTGTATATTTCGTTTACCTTTTTGGGATAATAATACATTTCAGAAAAGTGAGGACATTTTTAAGAGTTTCCCCCAAAATACTTATATTTGTTTTTCCAAAATGAATTAATAATAAAAATAAATATATATTAATTTACAATGTCGAGTTCAATTTGTTTTTCTTCGTGGCGTTGTATTGAAGCATATAGGCTTGGGATTATGAATATACAATTATTATGGGATAAAAAGACTGAATTAGGAAATTATCTTCATTGTTTCATATAATATTTTCCTTGTCTAGAAAATTGGAACAATTTTTAATATGGCAATAGTGCAATAAAATAGCACCATTGTTTCTGAAAATATTTTTCATACAGAACTTGTGGGACATTTAAAAAATGACATTCCACACAGTATGCACTTGAGTCTGGAGCTGTAGTTTTACATAAAATATCCCACAAGAATGTTTGACTTTGGACAGTCCACAAAACTACAAAAATCCACAAAAGAAATAATTCTATGACACTGGTACATCTCCAGACGTGCTCACTAAACTCTCTGACAATTTTCCACAAATACTGGAACACTGACCACATTAAGCTAAACTGCATGCAAGTTAAGCCTTGGAATTCTTTAAAAATATCAACCTCTTCCTTGTTTTGAGATATTCCTTCCATGTTTGATATAACTGAGCCCAACAAAAATAATCATATACATGTACACAAAAAACCAGGAATACATGGTTTTGATAATTGGAAATTCATACACATATAAACTGCAGGGGTTGTATAACTATATCCCATCCAACTATGTGCCATAAATTCAGGATTTCTCCTAGTAAAAATTGTTACTTTGGCACATGGTACATATGTATACGAGTCTGAGACTTCACAGGACAAAAGGGCTGTATCTTTCTGTTTGCTAATAACTAACGTTTTGATCAAGGCTTCTGGGAACATGACCAAGATGTCGGTGTGTCATAATCATAGAGCTATATCAAATTACTAGAGCGCTGACTCGATGTACAAAATGATGCCTGCTGGGCGCACCCATGTTTGTGCACAAACCTATGGAAAACTCGAAAGTTTGTGCGGCTTTAGTACAGCTATTTGCATATCTGCGTTCGTATTCTATAAAGGTGCGTTATCGAACCCGATGTGCCCAAAACCGAAACGCACATTTAGTAAATGAGCATTTCATTTTGCTCTGCGCAAACAATGTAAACGTGTGCGCGTGTTGGCTGCAGATGATTTTGCCATGACGTTTTTTTAACCGTCATGATGCGATTAAGTTGTTTGCATATATGCGCGTGGCATTTAGAGTACACTTTCCTAAGTCACTCCATATAATATTATGTTCTACAAACAAGCACATAAATTCAAAATGTCTGCGCCCAGGATGGCTTCAATGTATCTCCGTGCGTTAGAATAAGGAGTTAGCGCTCTAGTAATTTAACATAGCTCTATGGTCATATAATACACCTAATGCCCGGTCCATTCTTCATGCGAATGTTGTAGTTAAGGAATGCAGTCGCACTATTCCACCCAAAACCCTACAATATTTACCACACAACCCAACAATAAACACTTGCAGCTTTCACAACCTGCTTTGACAAGCATCATTGTTTTACAAATAACAACCAAAAAAAAGCTCACGAAGAAACTATTCACCACTTCCTAAATTCTTAAATTCATTTATTTATTTTATTTGTCATAATATAATTATTCATTAAAATCCACCGAGTCTTGAATATACACCAGTGTGGCTGGCCTATGTACAGGGAAAATTTCTGACTTTTTAAAGTTTAATATTACTTGTACTCAGGTAAAGTATCCTTACATCGATAATTACATTAAAAAATATACTGGCTTCATACAAGGTGGAGACACACATTTCAAAAAAGTTGAGATGATTTCAAGGTGTAGTGGTGTCACAATGCTGCTGAGGTGAGCCCTTGAGTACGTTCGATTACTTCCCCCAGCTTACTCGTGCCTGCTTCTCGCGTGATGACAGACATGCGCAGTGAAGCTAAATAAACGAACGGTTTCGGGTAAAGTTTCGTGCAAGAGCTGGAAAGTTGAACTTTGACATGACACGGCTGCAGTCCGAATCGACTGTCTAGAGCTAGGTCTCGGACCATGCCCATTGAAAATACGTGTGGATGCGCTGACAATAGACGTAGCAGTAGCTCTGGAAGCCCGTTTTGGACACGGCCTGAGGCGCCCGCCGGACGTCACATTGGCAGCCATGTTTATTGCATGGCCTTATGGGATACCTACCCAAGTAACCGGCTCGGCGAGTCAGTTACTTGGGCCAGGCTTGAGTAAGCGTGAGAAGTCACGTGAGAGGTAAATCGAACGCTGTCGCGCTTGCAGAGTAAGCGCGGGGGAAGTAATCGGACGTACTCCTTGCATGTCATAGGGACTAGGAATTATAACACTCAAATGTAAATTGAAACAAGATGAGAAAAAAGGAACAAATTCCTCAAAAAGCAATGACAGAAGACGAGTGCAAAGCATACATCTAAGGCACAGGTCCCTCTTAACCATAAATGATTATCAAATGATAGATGATGAGAAAGTATGATTGTTTACAGAACTGTGAAGAACTGTGAAGTGGCCAGAATGTCATTTCTTTTCCCGACAGGTTGGAGCACTTACTCCTACAAGAATTGGAAGAGAAAATTAAAAAAAAAATTGGACTGATCCCGTTCAGCAGTTGAGTATTCACATCATTGATCGGTTTGGGAGTACAGACCATGCCACCTGTGACGACAGGCAATCGACAGGCAAACCTAACATTTAAGCATCTTTTGCATGTTATTTTGCCCACATTATACAGTTTTATAAGACTTTAAACCACTCATGTTTTGAGAGAACATACATGCAGTGCATCGGAACAGTTTGCCGAAAGCTGGCGTCACGCGACCACAACATCCAATTTGTAAACAAATGTTACATGGTCTATTCTTTAACAGTCATTCTATATTACGTCGTTGATGGCAGAAAAAAAAGTATTCATAAACAGCCTTTTTTCCCTCTCCAACTACACATTTTTTCACAGGCATTACAACGTACACGTACATAAAGCTGTTAAACTTGATGTAACACGTACTGTGCAAAAATTTCATGAAGTAGTCCAAGACTGTTTTGAATTTTATTCCACCAATACATGCATAGCTGGTCCAACACAAGCGCGGTAAAACCATCGCTACCAACAAAAATGAATCGACTCCAGCCTTGGGAATTTCGGCAGCGCTACCCGGATAATACCGAGCACACCTCGCACGCAACGCATTGAAGCCAATGCACACATGTGAGGTACGCTCGGAAATTTCCTGGGGTGTATTGCTGAAGTTCCCTACACTTGATTCATCTTGTTGATAACGACCTCCACTGCTGTGGCGACTTTACTGCGCATGCCGGAGACCGGCTGAATTAAAGTCTTGAAACAAGACCAGTCTTGAACCAAGACTAGTCATGAAGCTGCTCAGCAAATCTAGGTGCTTAGCAGAAATTAGCAGAGAACCAGCCAAAAGCAGTATACATAACTTGACATTTTGGCTGGTATCCTGTTTTTGCTCAGCAGAATTGTGTGCCCAACAGCTCAGCAACTGATGTATGTGGACATTACTGTACATGTATGTGGTCAAAATGTGGAAAGCGCCTATTGATTAACAATGCTCTAGATTTGTTTAAAGGTCAGGAATTTGAAATTAGCTCTTGCGCCTTCCGACTCGTTCTGTTGGGCCAAGTAACATAAAGGTCAACATTCTAATAGTTTGATCCACAATATACCCATATCTCCACGGCAAAATTGATTTTACAATTCTGTCTTTATATTCACATACAGAGCATCAAAACTGCACAGCTCCAAACGGACATTTTATTTATTATCTGTGGCTATCAATATTCAATGTGGCACTGTTAGAAACATCAGCCTAACCAAACGACAACTCGGACACGACTTTGCATTTGGTTTTTACAGACGCCCAATCGCAGTAATATACAATAAAACAGCGGCCAGCTGGTACATAATACAAAAGTGAATGCTGATTGAGCCCGACGTCAGGAAACATTCGCAGCGAGTTGGAATGCATTCAAGTTATGGCCATTCAAAGTGTGAATAGTACTTGCCCCGTTGCGCATTTGCTTTCGCACAGCGCACGGAGTGGTCTTGAGTATTTAAGAATGAATGCTAACCTTATAGGGTTAGGAAAGGCTTTGCTGTTAGCACCATACATTTTGTCTTTTTCAATTTGTCAAGGTTATGACCCACACAAAAATGACCTCCAAAAAATATTACTTACACTGACATAATATTACGGTAGTTTAATATTTAAAAATTTGTGTTTTGACTTTTTGTACATTTGGAATGTAAGCCATTTTTCTTAACTATTCATATTACTGATTAGAAATACACTTTCTAATCTCTCGTTATGCTAACAATACGAAAATATTAATGCCTCTGCCTAAAAATACATGGTTACATACTTTTCCAATTGTGTAGAGTTGTGCCACAGAAGGACGAGTTAAAATTTATCAACTTCTCTTCTTTTTTTTTAACGGAAGCAAAATTGACCGAGATATACACATTTATCAATCGTTCCTCTTCACCTTGTGAACTGGGAAACTTATTTCCGTTTACGAGGCGACAAGGATCAACTGAAGACAGATACTACACAGCACACCTTTAGAAAGGTTGCCTCCTATATCACACTGAAACAAAGGCACCTTGACGTACACAAGACACACACCACATGACAAGTTCCATCACTGAATACAAGACGACGCTGAACGAAGCCACGAAACCTGGATCCGATTTCCTGAAGTCCTTCAAAACAGAATCGATTCCTTTCAAACTTGGCACAAGCATGCCCGACTCAAAACAGAATTCGAAAACTTTCTATACAGGGTGAGTAAAAAAATAACGAGACCCAAATGTCGAAAGTATTGTTTTAGTGAAGCTCTGCATGTAGCACTTTCAAATTCTAGGATATGAAAGCCCAATTCATAAGTTTTCTTTTAGTACAAGAATCATTTAAATCGCTCATGTATTTTTCAAGTTATTGAACCACAACCACCGTTTTAAAGTTCTGTCCACGGATCACAAAAAAGGTGTTCGTTCTTTCAGCACAACGAAAACAATTCACACATCCCTATGTGATTTGTTTTTGTTTCACTGAAAGAACACTGAACTTTTTTTGTGATCGGTGGACAGAACCTTGCAACAGTGTTTGTGTTTAAAATTCCGTAACTTGAAAAGTACAAAAGTGATTTAAATGATTCTGGTACCAAAAGAAAGCTTATGAATTGGGCTTTCATATCCTAGAATTTGAAAGTGCTACATGCAGAACTTTACTAAAACAATGGTCCCGACATTTGGGTTTTGTTTTTTTATACTCACCCTGTACAGCGTTGTAGTCGAGACCATCACAAGTCTAGTCACAACTAAATCACAAGTCCAGTCACAAGTAACAGGGGATGAACAGTCAAACAAAGGAATGCCTTTGTCAAAGCTCATTTGAATAGCTTGTGATGGACCGGTGAGAACTTGTGGTCAATCGACTACAACGCTGCTACTACCCCCTGGAATCCTCTCAAATGTAAAGCTGGTTTGCACGATTTCACGCATGGAGGAATGTACAGCATACAGCCATTTTTACTTTACATGGGACTTGATATCCCCATTTTGTTTGACGGCAAATATTTGATTGACTGTCATTGGATTTGTGGTGTTTGGATTCAGGTGGTTTCCTAGTGATCATTTTCACAGAATATTCTTGGACTTCCTCGGTATTTTTGGTTTGGAATCTCCCGAATCCTCGGATACATTATATGAACTTAATCCTAACCCTCCAGGGTATTTTGGCTAGAAACCCTGCCAAACGCAGCAACATGCAACACTTGTCTGTAAGTGACAAGCCTACCCAGTGCAGCAAGATCCATCATGCCAAAAGTCTCAAGGCCAAACTGCCTCAGAGTCTGTGGTCACCGAACGCAGCAGGATACAACTGAGGCATTGTTCAATGGGACTAGCTCTCATTGTCTCCGAAGTGGCCGTTTATGCACTGGTGTTGGTAGCTGAATGCATCAAAGTGCACCAGACTTTTCCACCTGATGCACTGTGTTGCGTCTGGCTGGGTTAGGGTCAAATGGTTAAGTCCCATGTACTGTAACGGCGACTGGATTCTACCTTCCTGAAACTTGCACTATCTACCAAAACACCCAGTTGATGTCGTAGGATCGTAAGGGTTATGGTTTATCCTCTTTAACACAAGGCATCTCATTTCTAGCAACCTCAACTGTGCCCTCTTCCCAGAAGATACTACCCGATTGAAAAACAACCTTTCTCTAAGAAGGCACCTCATGGTGAAGCACCTCCACTGCCAAAAACCAAACCTCAAGATTCAGATATATGCATTTTGTACACAGACAAACAGATCCAGACATTGAACCTCACCAGCACCTCAGAGACTTGGAACCTCACCACCAACAAAAACCTCACAATGACAGCTTCCGAATGAAGGCAAGCCACAAGACACTATAGAGCCTGTTTTTATACATAAACACAAAGGGATCACCTAAGTCTGGGGATCTAGGTTCGGGAACCGACTTTTGCTGGTGAACTTGGGTTTGTTTTTCAACATTCCTGCCATTTCTGCCTGCCGCGGCGTGGGCTTGCTGCGCTGCACTGTTTTGGGTTTGATAGTGATGGGCATGGACTTGTGGGAAGCGGTGGGCACAGTCCGTTTGGCTTCGTCCTCCCTCTGCTGTGACGAGATTTCTAAACCCGAGGTGGGCGCGACTAGATCGCCGATTACAGCGTTGGTCTTGTTGGCAGCCTTTACCGATTTAGTCTTGCGGACTCGGCAGGTGTTCTTACCGAGTCGCTTCGTGGATGCGGGAAAGGACCGATGCCTGCCGACAGAGACCGGCTTCTTAGTCGTATCGTTCTTGGTTTCGGGGGTGACGCAGTCTGCCGAACCCAGAGGGGAGGAGCCAGATTGGTAGGCGGAGTCATCTGAGCCCGATCGCCGACGGGCCTGCAATCCTTTCCTCTCTTTTGGGCTGGGCGTGAGGCCACTCCCGACTGCCAGGTTGCTGGGGTTAGACGCCGCCCGGCGACGGGCAGCCAGATTGCTGCCCAGCCTGGTCCGTTGATTGTTGTTGTTGGAATTCGCTTCAGAGTCTACTGACTCGCTAGGGCCTGCAACGTCTGTTGTGGTATCGCCTGACTGGGAATTACTCCCCGATTGTTGATCACTGTCCATACTGTCCTGAGGGTCACCGCCGTCTTTCTCATCTTCAGTCCCTCCCTCCGTATCCTTCTCTTGATTTTGTTCCTCGTCAACTGCTCCGTCGATCTCCTCTTCTTCCTTGATCTCCCGTTGGGTTGGGTTCAGGAAGACCACCAGCACGGTGATGTTGTCGTTGGAGCCGCTGCTCTTCGCCTCTACCACCAGCCGGTGGGCCACCGAGTCCATGCTGCTGTCGCCGTTAATGCTCTGTTGGATGATGCGGCAGACCGTCTTGGGTTCGACAACGTCCCAGAGTCCGTCGCAGGCGATAATGATGCAGTCCTCGTTGCCCGTTAGGGGTAAAGTTTTCATGTCAGCGTCGCTGCTTACGTAAGGCTTCTGGTCTGGATCACCTGCATAACAAGTCAATATCACAAGTCAATATCACAAGTCATCACAAGTCAATCACAAGTCAATCACAAGTCAATCGCAAGTCAATCACAAGTCAATCACAAGTCAATCACAAGTCAATCACAAGTCAAACACAAGTCAATCACGAGTCAATCACGAGTCAATCACGAGTCAATCACTAGTCATTCACTAGTCAATCGCAAGTCAATCACAAGTCAATCACTAGTCAATCACAAGTCCATCACAAGTCAATCACAAGTCCATCACAAGTCCATCTCAAGTCAATCACTAGTCAAACACAAGTCAATCACAAGTCAATCACTAGTCCATCTCAAGTCAATCACTAGTCAAACACAAGTCAATCACTAGTCAATCACAAGTCAATCACAAGTCAATCACTAGTCAATCACTAGTCAATCACTAGTCAATCAAAAGTCAATCACAAGTCAATCAAAAACTTCAATCACTAGTCAATCACTAGCCAATCACAAGTCATTCACAAGTCAATCACAAGTCAATCACAAGTCAATCACAAGTCATTCACAAGTCAATCACAAGTCAATCACAAGTCAATAACAAGTCAATAACAAGTCAATCACAAGTCAATCACAAGTCAAGCACAAGTCAATCACAAGTCAATCACTAGTCAATCACTAGTCAACCACAACTCAATCACTAGTCAATCACAAGTCCATCACTAGTTGAACACAAGTCAATCACAAGTCAAGCACAAGTCAATCAAGAGTCAATACATGAATAGCAAACTGCCTACCCAACAAATAAAACATCATTTGAAGTCATTCTGAATAATACCTGAATGGCAAATGACAAACTATCAAGATAACATGGAAGGGAGAAATGTCACACTTTGGACCCTAAATTTATCAAATGACTTATAAAGTACGAACTGGCTTTTAAATTAAAGTTCCGAATCTATTAAAAAATCCTTCAAAATCAGCCGTTGGATTTTGTAAGATTTGTGGTTTGTAGAGTTGCTACTGACCTATGGCTCTTGACACGGCCAGTGTGCCGTTGACCCTCCACACACCGAAGAACAGAACACAGCCGCCTAGCTGCTCAATACGAGTCTTCTCGTCCTGTTTTCAGCAATTTCAAAAAAAGAAGAAGAGAGTTTGAACAGAGAATTGTCACTACAAATAACCCTTTCAGAGAATATTATGGTTACGGTGTTCGACTTGTGTGCCATGGTACATGGGTTCGAATACTGACAGGGAACATGGAGCTTGTGCGCTTGGGCAAGGCACTTTACTACAATTGCCTCCCAGGAGTATAAACGGGTACCTGTGAAGGTAGAGACCAGATTGTGCTGATCTTGAGCTGCTGCAGGGTCTCATTCCTGATGAACAGGGATAATAACTGTGATGCGCATTTGATCAAATTCTTATGGAAATTGTGCAATATAAATGTATAAATTATCAAATCATTGACCCTAACTGCCCTGAATCCTTCAAAATCCTCTTTGCCAAAGTGGAGGAATTTGGAGGATTGAGGTTACACGGCAAAAGTGCGTTACTGATTTCATAGGATGAACTTTGTCAAGGTCTTGGGCTGGACCTTGTGTTGTTGTTGCTCAGCCATGCATAAATATAGGCCTGGATTATGCTTGAAATCCTCCGTACTGCTCCAGGATGTCACTGGCCAAGCCTCAACATATTGACAGTCACTGCCGCAGGATTTTGCAGGATTCAGGCAGTGGTCACACCTCCAAGGACCATATTCAAGAAATAATGGAAGAATTTGCAGGATTGCGGCTATGCTATTGTTCCATGAAGCCAATTGGAGGATTTTGCAGGATTCAGGCTACATCCTAGTAAAAAGGCCTAGGGAGTTAGGGTTGATAAGAGGTAATGCAAATTTAATGAGTTAATGTAACTATGTGCTGCAATCGAAGTCCAAATCTACTCCAACTGATTTCAATGACAAATGTGAAAATTACAAGTGAAAAGAAAGACACTTGGTTGCTCCTGATGTATTTTCTTCAGATTATAAAATAATATGGGAATTTCCCTTTGACATGTGAATATAAAAACCACTTCCTTCCTTGTCACATCCGGTTGGGTTCTTGGCAAGTAATCAGTAGTTGTGTACTTTACAGTCCATTGCCACGAATAAACACAAAGACAACCCCTGCAGTATCATAAGAATCGTCTAGTGGACATAGGACAGTGACTCCTGAGAAAAGCCACAAAACTCAGGAAGTACTGTCTACTTGTTCTTTCTATTGTACACTCTAGCACTGAAGTTCTGTGTTCCTGAAACAAGTAGCACTGAATTTAGGTGTTCCTGAATCAAGTAGTGTTCTTTGTACACATTTCCTCCTGGAGTAAGCGCTTACCAATTATTGGGATTAACCCTAACTCGCTAGGTATTTTTGCTAGGATGCAGCCTCAATCCTGCGAAATCCTACGACTGCCTCTATGTAAAAATTGCATACAGCCTCAATCCTGCAAATGCCTTCGCTATTTCTTGAATGTGGTCCTTGGAGGGGTGACCACTGCCTCAATCCTGCAAAATCCTCCAGCAATTACTGTCAATATGTTGAGGCAGAGCCAGTGACATCCTGGAGCAGTGCGGAGGATTTCAAGTATAATATATGCCTAAATTTATGCACGGCTGAGCATAAACAACACAAGGTCCGGCCAAAGACTTTGACACAGTGCATCCTCAAAAATCAGCCACACGTTTTTGCCATATAGCCTCAATCCTGCAAAATCCTCCATTTTGCAAATTTTGCAAAGAGGATTTGGGAAGGTTAGGGTTTAATACACGATGTATCTATGCACAGACATAATACATGTGAGCTGTGTGCATACAAGGAACATGTGGTGTGCTGATGCTTTCCCAAGCGCAGGCGTCACTAGAAGGGAATGTTGGGGGTGGGGGTGGGGGAGGTTAAGGTCAACCCAAATATATTTTGGTTTCAGACAGGCAAATTGTATTCACTAACCCGCCCTCTCTTGCCAACAAATTCAGCTATGCCATCACAGCAGTAAAAATCAACCAACTGACAATTTGTAACAGTTAAGAATTCCCTTGTTACATGTAATTTGATAGAGCCATGCTTTGACTGGAGGTGATTGATATGCCAGCTGTACCTACCAGTTACCTCTTTTGTCTGTTGACGGAATCTGACTAGTCACAGTTTTTACACAAATGGGATCCGTCTGTTTTTAACTGGTCTGTATACAAATGCATGGCAGGGGAAGTGTAAGAAAATTTTGAGTGTCTGTAACTGATCAAACACGCAAGGGCTCTGGATTTCATTCTCAATCTTACCTAATTTTTATTCCATGTTGAAGTTAACTCAAATATTCAGAATAATGTTGTTCAGCGCAACTCTTCCTCTAGCTCTAGCCTAGCGTGGCGAAAGCCACGGTCAATTACATGTGAACAGATGCGCTGATTAATTAGGCAAGACAACCGCATCTTGACGTCTACATTTTGACCAATCAGCGGGCACTTTCTTTGTCTGGTCTTCGGTCATTCACCTTTGTCGCGTCTAGGCATGGATAAAACTAACCCAGCTTGACACAGCAACAAAGGCTTCGGTCACACGCTATTATGTTACGCGACACGTACGTGGCGGCTGTTGTTGCATTACAAAACACTGGATTTGAATTGACCAATCCCAGTTTTAGTCCTGATTTGGGAATGAAATGACGTCACGATTTTAGCAAAGTCGACTCCGCTTGGCTGGCATATATTTGCAAGTTTAGACATATCAGACATTATACAGGAGAATTAGCTCTGTGGATAACGGGTGATACTCTTTCTCTTGAAAGAGCCTGAAATGGGTGTCACTTTGTACGTTTTTTTTTCACTCACCGGTCTTTCAGGTTTGTGAGGGTCCATGAGGGTGATCGGTTGACCATCTCTCATCAGATACACCTGCGAGTCTCCCAGCCAGGATATATGGAGTTTGTCAGATTCTATGATGACTGCCACACCTGTTGAACCACTCCCTAAACCCTACAGAGGACCAGGAAAGGCAAACAATAGAAATAAAACATGTCTTTTGAAAAGAACCAAAATGGAAATTTGCATTCACAGTTTTTAAATTTGAAACTATTTACCCTAACGTCTTAGCCATTACTTTGGGATAAAGAACTGAGTACTACAGAATACTACACAAAATTATGTATGCAGGCACCAAATACCAACAAAAACTATGAGTGCTATGGCCACTTATGGGCTCCGTGCACCAACAAAAGAGGGCGCCCTTTTACCTAGCAACGATGTCCCATGGGCGGAACATTTAGCTGGTTGACGCGCACCAGTCCTTGTGCGTGATGCACGTACACCAGGGGATTTGCACTATGTACACGCAGTGGTACAGCCGCCATGTGTCGCGGCAAAATTGCAGTCAGGCAAGATGGCGTTGGTCAGTCACCCCAAACCGTACTTTCTTTGCCGGTGAGGGGGTACTTGTGAACGGAGCGAATATGCTGAAGTACTGTATACTACAGTTACTACCAGTAGTATTTTGTAGCTTTAGGTGAGGTCAGGGTTAAAGTGTATAAGTTTAAAACTCTAAAAATTGAATCAAGACTGCAAAATTAATTGCTTTTAAAGGTAGGGTACATCGTTTGTTATTTGTGCATTTTTTGTTTGTTTGAAGAAACAAAAGTGCTTAAAATCTAAAGAAGGGTGCTACACAACTAAACTTGATGAAGTTTAAGCTCAGTGAATGCTGTACATCCTGAGAAAACAATATTCTGTTCAGGTCATGGTTTAACTTCATACCTATCAAGGAGCCCCACAGAAAATGGCATCTGACATTACTACATTTTTGCGTCAAATTCAATTATGATATTCAAGTTTTGGTGTCGCATGCAACATATCTATTGAATCTTGTTACCAACCTCCCGGCGTGCTTTCTTCAGGAATCCCTCGTCTGTGATTTGGAACGATTTGGCCAGCGCTTTGGACGGGTCGTCAAGGAAGCAATCTTGCCGGATGGCGTTGCCGTGGATATGCTGGCAGGCATACATGGCCGCGTCCGTGCCACCGTGGCCGTCGTAGACTGCGTAGAAGGCACGCTCCTTGTCATTCTAAGACGGATGATGTGATTGGTTAGTTTCTATCTCCAGCACGTGTACATTTGATTATTTGCGAACTCGGGCTAAATATAAGAACTGATTCAGAAGTTGTAAATCTAGTATCGAGCTATGGGCCCATAACAATGTGATTCAGTGGAAGTAATTAGTTCGCTTCATTTCTAGTGATACATCAAAATGAATGAAGCCTAGCACATGAGACCAACAAAAGCTTATTGAGATTACAAAGTTGTGGACAGTTTCTAAAATATACTAAGCCATTTTGAAAAGCAAGTTTAATTTCGTTTTCTGAAATCAGTTTCCAGAATGACAGGAATGATTTTTCTGAAATCAGATTAAAGTTGTCAGGTCAGTCAATAAATTGTAAAAATCAAATGATGTATCAGTGTCCAGGGTTGTTGAAATCATCGTAAACAGGCCGCGTCCAAATTTCTTGGAAATGGCTGGATATGAAACACGGGCCTATGGAAAGTTGCTGCAACCACTTCCATAGGCGTGTGTGTAATTTCCAGCGACGGCCAAGAAATTCGGACATGGCCACAGTTTCAAAATTGGACTACATGTATATCGGCTTTCAAAACTGCAACTAAGTTCCTGAACTGGTGCAAATCTTTCATCAGCAATATTATCCTTGTAAATGAATAGACGGAGCAGGCACTTTGAACAGTGCAGTCTCAGTTTTATCAAGCGTATCACTAATGAGAGCAACAGACAACCTGATTGTATATCACACGCAAAATGAGCTAAATGTTGTTCTTCATTTCATTGTTCATCAGCAAGTATAATGTCTTGTAATGTGATCACCAGGCCTCAAATCAATTAGCTTTGTTTCCACAAGTTTACGTGTACTTTTTCAGAAGTGTATGGGTACACATGTATGCAATACATTTGTATGAACAGAGCTCAAGTCATTTCAGTATGTCCCTGGCCTTACAGGCATGCATGCATAGGATCATTTGCTTTTCATGCATTTTGTTCGTTTCCAATAATAACACCACTTACATGTACATGTAAAATCCAAAGAGGAATGTTCAAAACCTAACCCGCTCATTAAACAGCTAAAAACCATGCACATTGATTGCGTCTACAGAATTTTTTTTTAAATCAGTAAATTGACCGATCGTTTGAAATCACTAACATTTCTTGATTTCTTCTAAATGCCAGACGGAATAATTTCATAGGGTGTTTAGTACCAGTATGTTAGAACTGTAATCTAAGTAATTTTTTTTGATAACAATTCGGGCAGTAATTTTTGGGATTAATGCAAATGATCCTATATTTCTTTAATCGTCTTCCATCAACCCTAACCAGTGCGCACACTGAGGGGTAGTAAGTATTCACATTTCTACTACCTGTCGCAAAAATTTGATTTTACACGTATCTCTTACCCCGAGATTAAAGAGCGTGTTGAGATCAGGGACGATGACGTGTTTATCCTCCATCCTCTTGCGGGTGTTCTTGACGGCATGCTGGGATACTTGATGAAGACGCGGAGGCAATCGCAGCTCCGGTAGGTCCGTCTTCCAACGCTGGCATAGATCGTTGACGGTGGTCCACACCAACGGGAATATCTGACCGGCATCGTATACTATTGAGAAGGCGGGAATTTTTAAACAAATACATGTAGTTAAGCATACTGCTGGCGTTTTTAACCCTACCGCCCTGAATCCTTCAAAATCCTCTTTGCCAAAGTGGAGGAATTTGGAGGATTGAGGTTACATGACAAAAGTGCGTTACTGATTTCCTAGGATGCACTTTGTCAAGGTCTTGGGCCGGACCTTGTGTTGTTTTTGCTCAGCCATGCATAAATGTAGGCCTGGATTATGCTTGAAATCCTCCGTACTGCTCCAGGATGTCACTGGCCAAGCCTCAACATATTGACAGTCATTGCCACATGATTTTGCAGGATTCAGCCAGTGGTCACCCCTCCAAGTACCATACATTTGTATTCAAGAAATAATGGAGGAGTTTGCAGGTTTGAGGCTATGCTATTTTTCCATGAGGCCAATTGGAGGATTTTGCAGGATTGAGGCTACATCCTAGCAAAAAGGCCTAGGGAGTTAGGTTTAAACAAACCGACCAAATTTATCCCCCCAGTGACAAATACCGTAATTGTCAGGAATGAGATTGTGAGAAGACAAAAAGGTCTGAAATTGAGAGGATTTGGGGCGTAAGGAGTGGCAATGCATGATAGCATGGTATAACAAAATATTGAGTGGCTCAGCGTGGAATGGGAGGAATGTTATCGCAAGGTAAAATCTGGACTTTTCCATTTCACGAGGCGAAGCCGAGTGAACTGGAAAAGTCCAGATTTTACCGAGCGATAATATTCCTCCCATTTCACAATTTAAAGCCACTCAATATTTGTTTTATATAACTGACATATAGAACCTTGTCATTTGATATATTTGAACTTTTTTTCAATACAAAACTGGAGGAAAATGTATTTCTCTCTTCCAAACCACCCCTTCACGAAAATGTTTGAACCCAATGCTGTAGCGCTGGCTCTTTGGAACAATACGCGCTACGCAGAACGCGCTCACCAGCATGCATTTGCACACAATACCGCGTCATGATCCTAACTGTTGAATAGTATTTCCCATTCCCCATGGGCGGATAGAACTTTTTGAGCCGCGGCGTGAATGGGAGCAATAACGAATGTCACGTGATGTGAGTTCCACCAATCAAATGACTAGAATCTGTATGTCAGTTATATAATATAAAATAATGCACTTTATTGAAGTGTCTTTGGTCTAAAGCTATACATACATGTAACGTCTCACATACATGTAACGTCTCACAAACAATGTCGCATTTCTGCCAAAAGTCAGAAGAATCTCATCCTGAATTGTAGTCTTTATACTAATAGTTGATTTTGTTAATTAGTTATTAGAACGTGAGAAGCTGACAGTTGATAATAATGTGGCTCAAAATCAGTGGTACGTGTACTCTAGCTTTTTGATAATTTATGGCTTAAAACGTTTGTTAACGGAGAGTAGAATAATTATCGTTGATAATTTTTTTTTACCATTTTAAATTAGTAATCAATCTATGCTCAAGACCCTTTCTTAGTGATTTCCGTCGTGAAAAATAAGGGCCTATAAGTCAAAATGTAGCTCAGGACAAAACCTGAAATGATTATGAAACTGAAATTATGTCAGAACAGTTTAAGGAAACTGACATGTTCAGATATATGCACAAGTACATTGTATTATATTTACCCAAACAGTTTGCGGGGTGATGCAAGAACTACATGTTCATGTGCATGTATGTCTACATGCACTTTACAAGTATGGATATACTGTTTCAGATGTATGCACATGTATTATATTTACCCAAAGAGTTTGCTGGGTGATGCAAGAACTACATGTTCATGCATGTATGTCTACATGCACTTTACAATTACATGTTGTTTCACTACATACATGTATTCATAGTTCTCCATATTATCAAACTTTAGATTTTTACAAACATGTACTTGTAGATGTACATGTACCTGTACAGGATTGTTTTCTGTTTCATGAAATACTTTATTGATCAAATCCTTAATTGTGTATTTTCTTATCCCATGAATGCTAATAAGTCCTTTAAAAAAAAATGTATACATGTACAATGTACATTGTATGTAAATGTACTGTACATGTATAAATGTGATCTTAAAATTGGGGCACTTTATGTCACTATGCCATTTCCCTTTGTTTCTTGTATGCAGTACTGGTACATGTATTTTTATACATCAATTTCGACGTTCATTTTCACATTCTATTTACATTTAATTGTTGTGAACTCTACAGGTAAATCGGTATTGAATTATTTAAATCCACATGTGTTGACATTAAATATAAAATGTACAATGACGTGTGTCGTGCGTAGAGTGAAATTACAGTCAGACATCTGACATATTCCGACACTTACCATAATTGTCACACACACAAAATGGCTGTGATCATCTAAGTTTTAAGTAAATTTTAAATTTACTTAAGAAATAAATATGTGCTTGGCTAGGGTCCTGGTCGCGGAATATGGCCCGAGCCGAATACCTTTTCAGCCAAAAAGTCAAAATAAGTCAACAATTTCTCTTCATGTTTTATTAGAAATGACCCTCTGGACATGTCTATGGTATGAGCCTTGCACACGTAGTGCTAAGAATCTCCTTATATGGATGTGCGATGTGCGATGTGGCACAGAATGCAGCGGTGTTATACCGGCGGTTCAAAACCACCCACATGACTGGCTCTTGACCAATAGGAATTGGTAAACTGTCTCAGGTGGTTATGAATGCAAGATAAGGCCAAAAAAAATAATAATAATCGGTCTCTGGTCAGACCGAAGTTCCGGAATTGATGCGGCGACGCGGTTTTTTTTGGTTTTTTGGTGGCTAATTTTCAAGCTTCAATTGTACAGACAAGGTGGGTACTATTTTGCTTTTTTGTGTCATTATACATTGGTGTCCTCCATAATTTGCCTTGGTGCCCTTTATCATTTGCCTTGGTGCAATTTCCCCATTCCTTGGTGCTCCTTGGTACAAAATTTGGCAATAGAGGGCGCTGTTGTAGCTTCCGTATTAATTTGAAAAAAAAGAAAGGTTGACGCGCATGATAAAAATCGACGCGCGCGCTGACCAAAGACCGAATATTATTATTTTTTTTGGCCTAACAAAATCTATAATTGTGAAAGCTGAAATAATTGTGCTAGTTTGTCTTGGCTGTTTTTGTATCTTGATTTCACTCCTTGTTTTTGGGTCCGACTTCAATCTACCCCCCCCCCCCCACCCATTTGCCTTCTCTTACATGTGCAGGTAACATCATCATCATCCCCGTATCTTCCTTCATCATCCACCACAAACGTCGTCATGTCTTTCCCCAAGACGATGTCCACGGTTGTCCGGGCGATGGCGGCTGCCAACACGTACGGAGCTTTGCTGCAGGAAAAAAAAAAAAAAAAAAAAAAAAAATTAAGTCTGTATTACAAGCACATTAAGTAGAGTTGACCTCAAAGTGATTGACAGCTTTCCACGGACGACGCAGAATTCAAGACTGGAGAGTGTCCAGTCCTTGAGTACCGACTACATGTACTTCAATTTAATATCGGCCGATTTCGGCTGCACTGTCTGCAACTGTGTCAACAATCTTGTGGAAATAGAATAAATTGCAATTCTGGACGATGCACGAATTTTCTATGCACAGCAAATTACACAAAACTGCATCATGAATTGAATTTCAGGATAGGACAGGGGCCACATTTGCCGAGCGCGCACAAATTTTTGTTTGGCAAAAACAGGTTTTCGGCAAAAATTGTGAGGTGATGTATAATTGTTTTTGGGCGGTTTTCTGCTGATTTCTGCTTAATTAGAACATAAATTTGTTAAGCAAAAATCTTTTTTTTTAACAATGAACAAAACAACTTAAGAGGTGACCACAACTGTACATGGATGTAGGCACCACTCCATGGGGAGAGGGGATGTAAGAACAAATATGACAAATCAAATATTTTCACTATTTATTCAGTGTATCTATTTCTGAAGTTTTATATTGACATCTATGCTGCACTTGTCATGAAGCATGTATGAAACTTATTAAGTTTATCTTTGACGTGGAATCTTGCCAAGCTATTTATTTAATTACACGTACCGGTACTGGTACATGTATCCATTCGTTTTTCTTTCGTACATGTAAATAAAGCAACAGTGTCAGTTACCTAACCATCTCTCTGCAACTCACACTCACTGGCTGCAGCCATTTGTAATTGACTTCATGTCATTACTTTCATTTCTATCCCAAAGTTCCAAAAATGAAGATTTTACCTCGCTTACAACTTAATATGGCCGACCCGTGAATGGTGAATAAAGCCCATTGGATAATGAAAACAGCCGAACTCACTTCAACAGACACAGGTGTTACTGCCAATACTACCGGTAGTACAACCAAAGTAATTTGGACATGTACCAGTACATGTTTTGTACAGACTTGTAAATACACTTGTAAGCAAACATTATTACACTTAAAGGGACAATGCATGACAATTTTAGTGATATTCTTCATATACATACAGTACATGTACATGTACATGCCCCCTGTGTACATGTACATTCACATGTACGTATACATGTATACAGTACATGTGCACCTGTACATGCAAAGTCCTATGTAAACATATTTTTGGACTACATACATGTACATGTACATCTAATACATGTACATTACAAATACGCATTGAAACTTCGACTAGGTGCACATGTACATGTATGTATACATGTAAATATTCCAAAGTTCAAGACTTGGAATAATCTCTGCTTTGATTGCCCTTTTATGACATTCATGTCATGCGTGTACCCATATCATTAGACACCTATTGTTACAATTATCCAATATCTACACATTGTACAAACACCCTGGGCTAGCCGGCCCTGGCCTGGTCACCATAGCAACAATCAACAAGGGATTTAGGGCTAGACTTGCCCCAAGTCATGCAAGTCCTTTGTGATACAGTGGACATTTCTTGGATTAGTCGGTCATATTGCTATAGTGTAGGCGAGACTTGATCCTACAGTGTACACAAAGTGTTGATAGCAAAATTAAATATTAGGGTGCCGAGACCAGACTTGCATCTTTGCTAAGATGTTTTTTGAGAGTTTCAAGCCCCACTAATTAACCCCAACAGCCCTGAACCCTTCAAAATCCTCTTTGCCAAAGTGGAGGAATTTGGAGGATTGAGGTTACCGGTACATGGCAAAAGTGCATTACTGATTTTGTAGGATGCACTTTGTCAAGGTCTTGGGCTGGACTTTGTGTTGTTTTTGCTCAGCCATGCATAAATGTAGGCCTGGATTATGCTTGAAATCCTCCATAGTGCTCCAGGATGTCACTGGCCAAGCCTCAACATATTGACATACACTGCCGCAGGATTTTGCAGGTTTCAGGCAGTGGTCACCCCTACGCGGACCATATTCAAGAAATAATGTGAGGAATTTGCAGGATTGAGGCTATACATGTATGCTATTTTTCCATGAGGCCAATTGGAGGATTTTGCAGGATTGAGGCTACATCCTAGCAAAAAAGGCCTAGGGAGTTAGGGTTAAAGACTTCAGTGGATTGTCAATCTGTAAATCCTTATTGATTTACATTACACAAGTCCTGTTGACGGACCTGTAATCCTGATGTACATGTATGTACTTGTAATCCTGACGTTCTCTTCAAGACTTCAGATTTGAGGCCTCTGACCTTGGCTCACAATGGGACCATCAAATTAAAGTTCAGAGTTTTGCCATTTAGTATCCATTATCCATTTAGTATCTCGATAAAAAACAGTATGTGATGAATGAAGCCAAAGCCGGAGACAAAGGCAACAATATAAAATATAAATAATAATAATATAATTTTTTTTAAAAATTCAAAATTTCAAAATCCTCCAAACGATCATTGTACAAATGTAATTAATACAATGAGGAATTGCCAATGACACCCAGGAAGCAGTGCAGATGATATCTAGTGTAATCTAGGCATACTTTATGCACAGCTAAGCGTAAATAACACAAGGAGCATCTTAAGACCATTGACACAATGCATCCTCCAAAATCAACTGGCACAAAATGGAATTCATCCTCAATCATTGTTCCAAAATCCTCCAAAACCGCCTGGTTGATTTTGGAGGATTGAGGAGGTACATGTATAGGGTTAAGCCCAATGTTGGTGTTGCTCTACATGTGGGTATCTTTCTCAATCCTGTTGTTTTAGAGCAATCAATGGCACTTCTGCACATTTGACAAACTGTTGCTTGCAATATAAGCGCTGCTATCCAAGATAAGAACTCCTGAACAAAAGACTTGTGCAAGTCCACTGAGGCACAGCACTGACTATGCACTTATTACAGAAACCTTCCCGTACATGTACATGTACTATTAAGGACAGCCTGAATGCATTAAATCAAGCACGAATATGGCACACACAAAAGTGCAACTCTCATTGAAGTAATCTACTGTCGACTTTGTCACATGCTATCTGCCTCAGCAAGATTAGCACCACTTGTATCAGTGAACTTTTCGTACACACGATCTATGGGTGGTGTATTTTTAAAATCCTCGTTCCAAAAAAAGATTCCACTTTAGGATGATTCACACGCATGCATGCAGCTGGCCTCTCAGGGGGATGGGGCAGGAATAAAGTGAAAGGAATAAAGCAAATGTACATGTACATGTAGGTTAAATTCAGATACGAATACGTACATGTACACACATGTACCGGTACGTGTATGTACATGCATTCACATGTATGCAAAAATTATACAACTTCATGTAAATTTCTAGCTGATCAAGTTTTATGAATCACCTCAGGGGACAATTTACAAAATGTACCGGTATATACCAGTATGTACATACATGTACATGTATGTACACATGCAGCTCTGTGATTTTTACAATCGGAATTCTAGTCATAATCCTGTAATCCGATGTACCGGTACCGGTACATATATATACAATTAACTATTCACATACTTATAAGATGGAATTTAAAAAAAAAATATTGGAGAAGGGAAAATTCCACTATTGAACCAATGTAATTAATTTACATGTTTGCATCAATCATCATGCAAACTCAATTTTCAGGATTATTTCACATTAATTGTAATAAAAGTACATGTACATGTATATATTATTAAGGCCAAAATTTAAAATATATATATCAGTTGATCGTCCCTGCCCGCTTCCTTTTTTTGAGGCTGCATCAATTTTTTATTTTTTTTTTTAAATTTCAGGCAAAACATTTTTTTAAGGATGTTTCAGAAGTTCAAATGCTTCTAATAGTTTTTCTAATGTTCAGTAAGCACAGAGGGCTTTGTACTCATCAACTAGTAGACAACTACCCAGAACTATCAAATAAAAAGGGCCTCCCCCTTTTTAAGGCACATATCGTTTTTAAAAAGCTAAAAATGGCTACAAATTGTATTTTAGCCTATTTTGCAATAAAAAAATAACAAATAAAAAGGCCCTCTTCCTCCTCTTTTTGAAAAAAAAACCCAGACGATCAACTGGTGTTTTTTTTTTTACATGGCCTACAATGTAACGTGCATTTAGTACATGTACTCAATATGAGTAAACATGTTATTATGTGCACGTTCATGTTTGGCTTTGTTTATTCCACAAAGATTTGACCAAAACAGCAATATGAATTGATCACACAAACGTAAATATATGCATACACTGTAGTTGAAAACATTTTCTACTCTCACATTTCATTTCTTTATCACAACTCAACCGTGCCACATTTTCCCCTGGACGCTACTCCCCACTCCATTTCAGAAAACCTCCCCATTATCCTCTTCGAGCCTGTGCATATATTGAACTTAAAGAAAAGGTTCCCTGTTGCCCGGAGCGCCTTCTTGCCCTAATAGTAATAAAAAGGACAGTAGAAAATGCATCCCGGAGAGATGTACCGGCAGGGAAAGTCTTGGGACCTGTTTTTATGTAAACTAGGTGTGTGGCTGTGTGCTTGTGTCTATTGTAAACGTACATGTACATGTACAGGAACGCACCTTGTGCATACATGTACATTGTAAATGTACATGTACATGTATGTTAGCTGGTGTACAGAGTACCAACTAGGTCATATCCATCAAGCAATGAGTGTGAGTGCATGTCCATGTTTTTGGCACTGCTGTTGACTACATGTACAAATTATCATGATCTTGACCATGCATTCCATTTGCCCCCCAAAATAAAATTGGCACGATCTGTAGACACATATAATATTTTACACACAAAATGATGTGCCGGTACACATGCATGTAAATATCCACAAGAACAATGCGCATTGTCATTCATGTACATGTACATGTACATGTACAAGTACCGGTATGCAAAACATTGGCATTCTACACACATTTCAAACACAAAATATACATGTACATGTACATGTACATGTGCAT